GAGAAAGAGAGACCTCATGAGACAGACTTCTATAAGAGAAATGTCTCAGCAACCCCGCCACGCGCAGGACCCATTGGTGGTATGGTTGGTTTGATCTGCAACTGCACCACTCTTAATGCAAGGCTAAGGCCGATATTGACCTGTATGCAAATGCCAGCGGTTCCTCCTTATAGTTATAATTGTTCTGTAAAGATATAGCCAAACCAACCAAGCGGAGAGCGGTTGGCTGGTGAATCACTGTTTCACTTCGCCTGAACGCCAACGTATCCTCCACGGCAATGAATTGGATATCGTAAGGAGAGATGAACACGCGAGGTCAAGAAGGCAAAGCCTCATCATGACATCATTTAGGTCAGACGGTCTGCGACCATCTTCAAGATTTCTTCTGTCGACTTGAGCGCGTTGGCGGGGTCTTTGGCTACGGATTGCCAGACTTCTCCGTGCTTGGGCTCGGTCGAAATACACTTGGATATTACATCGGCGCGTTTTTCCTGGGGATGATCGTTAGTCACGTACACCCTGAAAAGATTATTCGTTGCAATCATAAATGCAAGACATACCTCTGTGCCATGCTGCAACAAGAACTTGTAGTACCAAGCCCATGCGTCGCCCATATCACTATCCGAGACAATGGCTTTCTCGAACCAGGTGAGTGCTTTTTCCAATCGGCGCTCACCCCAAAAGATCCGCGCGACGGTAATAAAGAGAATTGGATCGTTGTCGGCCTTCTTAATCGCTTCCAGACTCCGAGCTTTCCGCTGCGCGCGCGGCTCCAGGTGCCAAATGCTTTCACTCCATAGTAACCCAGAGGTAGGGACTTCTTGCAATGCCTTGGCCATTAGAACCTTGGCCTGGGCAATGTTGTTCGCTCGGCGCTCAACGCGGACACTTTCGGTCCAAAGCTCTGGACTCTTGGGGACCGCAAGGCGGGCACGGTCGAGTACTGAACGAGCCTTGACGACCGCACCGGCCTTTTCTTCCAGTCTTGAGGCCAAGAGCCAGAGTGGAATGGACTTGTTGCAGGCTCTGGTTCCGGTTCCGTAAGCTTCCCGAGCCTGTGGGTATTTGTTTTGGGCTTCGTAGATCTGCCCCTTCATCATCCAAAGTTTGTCCGCCTTGGGATAAATTTGAAGTCCTTGGTTCACCAGATCGAGCGCCTCATCGATGTTGCCGAGCTGTCGCTCGAACGCGACGCTCTTTATCCAAACGCGGTCCGTACCCGCTTCGCGTCGAGCAGTTGCAAGAAGTTCTCTGGCTTCGGATGTTTGGTTGGCATCGGCCTCCAGCTTGACAGCAGCCAACCAGATATCCTCGTTGTTGGGATTCTGGTTGAAGGCACGACCGAGCACTCTCCGCGCATCGTCGATCTCGCCGGACTGCCATTTTTCTTTGGCCAGCTGCAGCCATAGTTCCTCACTCTGTGGGCATGCCTCAACGGCCTTTTCAAGGACCTGCCACAGCGCTTCTTTACTACCATGGTTGCGCTCCAGTTCAGCTGCCGCAATCCAGATTGAACGACGGTTGACGAAAACACGCAGCGCGTAGGCGTAGATAGCCCTGGCTGTCTCGTACTTCCCCCTGGCAATACTGGCCTTTGCATCGTCCATCCAGATGTCTTTGCGATCGTCATCCTCATCCAGGCCCCATCCGAGTGTTTCGCGAATGATGGCGCCACAGGTGAGGATAGCACCCTCTTCTTCGCACTTCTCTGCCTCCGCTATCCACTCTTCCCGTTTGAGCATGGCGTTTTCTCTTGCGAGGGATTGGACAGCTCTCTTCATTACGTTTACCTTCTCGAAGGTACCCATCTGTTCCTGCAGGCGGGCAGCAGCGATCCAGACTTCGTGGCTGGTGGGAACTGCTTTACGGGCGGCATTGAGGACCTTCTGGGCATTCTCCGGTGTCTCCAGACGAGCCAGGGCTAGCCAGAGCTCGACAGAAAGTGGGATCATCTCGACTGCCTTCGCCAGAAGCAGACGTGCATCGGCAGGGTCATCCTCAAGGTTGACGGCTTCTTTCCATATCGTCACAGACTGAGGTATGTGAAGAATCGCCTGTCTAAGAACGTTCTTCTTCGCGCGAGGCTCAGTCTCCAATCGCATGGCTTCGATCCAGAGTCTTGTAGAACGGTCATTGTTCTTGATGGCGTTAGCTGCAATCACCTTGGCATTATGGCCCTCGTTAAGGCGAATGTTTTCAAGCCAGGCATCTTCGCTTTTCGGGCACAACTCGCAACCCTTGGCGATTACATTCCTGGCGGTCACGATTTTACCGGCTAATTCTTCTAGACGCGCCAGCGCAATCCACCCCGGCGCATGCTTAGGATTCGTTTTCGTTACAGATTCCAACAGAACGCGGACCCGCTTAATGTCTCCGATTTCTACTTCTCCAGCTTTCAGCTCAGATTGCGTGAGACTTGTAAGGTAGCCCTTCGGGTCGATGTTGGTAGCGCTTCCAGAGGCAGAATCCCCAGATGATCCCATGGCGGCTTGGTCGAGCCTGACCTTCAGGACCTTATCACGCGCAGCACTGATGTCTGCGAAATTGGTGATTGTCCCATCAGCTGCCTCCGCTCCATTGGCTGCCGTCTGGGTCCCATCCTCCGCAATTGTTGTCTCAAATTGGGTCGAGTCTCTTGCGCTCGCGATCACACTGTCCGGTACTGCGTAGAATCTCTGCCGAAGGTTCTGCTTTGCGCGTCGGTTTTTTCCGGTGAGATCTCCCACCTCCGGGAGGTTAGCCCACTCGTCCTCGGAGACCGAGGCTAAGGATCGTTTTAGATCTGCGAATTGCTGCTGGATCTTGGGATTTTTGCGTTCGTAGTCTTCTCGTTCTTGCTGTTCGCGAGCTTCCCTGTGAATGGTGGAGGAATTACGTCGGTAATCTGTCCAAACAAACCGCATATGGAGAAGCGGATGAACAAATCGCTTCATAAAAATAGCAGAAGGGGAGGCAAAAGGGCGGAAAACTAACCTTCTCATCTTCCGGCGCTTGTCCATCTTCTCATCCACCTCTCTGTAGATGCGGTCCGCCTCGTCATCCTCTTGGTCGAATTGACCGTACGCGAATAGCCCGACTTCATTGTCCGGATCCTGAAACCGCTCGTCATCTTCCTCTTCGTCCGGCTTTTCATCTTTACCGCCCTTCTCTCGCCCTGCGCCATAAGCTGTGGGAGGAGCGGCTCCAAGCAGCTGGGCCCGTTTTGCCAGCGCCGCCTGGATCTGTTCTGGCGTGGGGCCTTCTCGCGCGGGTCCGAGATCTGAACGGGTGGTGAAGCCAGTGGCACCGCGACCAAGACCGGCGACGTAATTCTCGGGAGCGGTTTGGCTCAAAAAGTCCTTACGCCCAGACGCCATGGCGGACGAGGTATACAGACCAGGGAACCGGGAGTGTGACTGAGGAAGAGCTGGGGAAGCTGTTCACAAGAGCAATGCGGATGGCAAGAGCGCTCCGACGATGAGCGAAACGCCGGGCAGCCGCAGAAACGTAATTCCGAGCCGCTAATCTTATCAGAAACCCTCCGCACTTTTTTTTGTTCAAGCCCAAAGACAGAGACAGAGAAGCGATAACCCGTTTAGGATATACCTCTCCAAAACGGTTGTCTCGTGAGGATTTGGACTGCTCATTCGGAGGCCTCGTGACTCAATCTGTCAGGATGCCTAAGGTCAAACAGCAGAAGCGCAATAGCGCTTCGAAGGCCAGTCCCTATGCCGATGCCGCGGCGAAGACGAAGGCCGCCAACACCGTCTTCAAAATGAATACCGATCTCGGTCAGCACATTCTGAAAAACCCTGGCGTGGCTCAACGAATTGTCGACAAAGCCGAGTTGAAACAGAGCGATGTAAGTTGCCCACATAGTTGTCCCATGTACTCTACGGATTTGTCTAATCTGGGTGGGGCTTTCTTATATAGGTTGTTCTCGAAATTGGTCCTGGTACCGGTAACTTGACCGTGAAGATCCTCGAACAGGCAAAGAAAGTTATCGCCGTGGAGCTCGACCCTCGAATGGCTGCTGAAGTCACCAAGCGTGTTCAAGGCACACCTGCCCAGAAACGCTTAGACGTTATCCTTGGAGACGTGATCAAAACAGACCTTCCATATTTCGATGTTTGCATCAGCAACACGCCGTATCAGGTACGTTATATACTCTATCTATCTCTTCAAAAGTGGAAGAAAGGCTAATTAGTTACCCGCTAGATCTCTTCTCCCCTCACATTCAAACTTCTCGCGACGTCTCCGGCGCCCCGCATTTGCGTTCTCATGTTTCAACGAGAGTTTGCTCTAAGATTGTTCGCTAAGCCAGGCGATAAGCTCTACAGTCGACTCTCCGTCAATGCTCAAATGTGGGCTAAGATCGACCACATTATGAAGGTGGGCAAGAACAACTTCAAGCCCCCTCCGCTGGTCGAGTCGAGCGTTGTCCGACTGGTACCTAAAAACCCCAGGCCCCAAATCAACTATGATGAGTGGGACGGGCTTCTGAGAATCCTATTCGTCCGGAAGAACAAGACAATCCGGTCAAGTTTTCTTGGCAAGTCCACAGTCATGGATATGTTGGAAGCCAACTATCGGACATGGTGCGCGCAGAACGATATTCCAGTTGAGGATGGGCCGGCGGAAGGCGCTGAGTCTGATGCGATGGACATTGGCAATGCGCAAGACGAGGAAGATGATGAGGGTGAAGACGAGCCTGACGAGGGCATGGACGTGGACGATGAAGACGATGTACCCGACTTCTTCAAGGAACAGACGAACGCGCGTATTCAAGAGGCTCTTAAGAATCGGCCTAGTCGTAAGAAGAAGGGAAAGGTAGCAGAGCTCGTCCGGGAGAAGGTACGGCAGGTGTTGGAAGATGAAACACGCCTTGCCGACAAGCGTGCAAGGATGTGCGATGAAAACGACTTCCTGAAGTTATTGTGGGCCTTCAACCAGAAGGGCTTCCATTTCAGCTGAGGCTAATAAGCCTGGGAATCGGAGATTACGTCTCCTTTTCGGAACGCCATATACTAATGAAACAGGTGATATTATTAATGACTCATGACTGTCGTCACTGCAGGTCATCCTCTGGAGTTCGTTCTCCAGCCGGACGAAGATGAGCCCTAGAGTCCTGGAAGAGACTTTGCCAGATGAATGCTTCGCTCAGCAAGAGTTCCACATCTTTATCCGTCCAATCCTTTGTGGGAAGTGCTTGCAGAAACATCATTATCTCCTATTGTCGTTTAGCATTGACTGTACGGTATCCAGAACCTTTAAAATTATACCCACCTGGAAATCCATCTTCACCAGCTGGTCTGACCATTTCACAAGGAAGGCTGCACAAACGTATAGGTGAAACCTCGAGAAACCCTGCTCCTCTGCCTAATGATATGGTCAGCATACCTGATCTACATCTGGCGCAATAGAGATAACCTTGGTTTGCCTCACCATATACGTGTCCCACATCCGTATAGTATTTTGTACACTCATCTCACGCATGAGAAGACAGTTCATCCACCGGAAACTGAACTGCATGAACTCTACTCCCTCCTGCTCCAAGTGCTTGGCCAGCGTAGAATCAATGCGCATCGTCAAATCACGCAGTGCCCTAACTTGTCGGTGAATACCCGGTTGAGCATAGATATAATTGTCCTGAATACCATCAAGTAATTTGGTAAGACACCAGAACGTATCTGCCTCCACGGCATCCAGCACACTCCTGGGCAACTGGCCAGGATCCATGCCCCTCTCAACATTAAGATCAGTTACGTACGTGCCCAAAAAGACCTGCCAGAACGGTGTGACGAGGTCATTGATACCTTGCACGTATCCGCTCGCCGGGTGTCGGATAGCCCAAACATAGAGGATCTTTTCCAACGATCGTTGAGTAGCTTCGTAGCTGTAAAGTTGAATATGAGGGCTAGTCCGAGGAACATCAATGCTGATTTGATGCCATATTGCCTCGTCCAGGCCCCTGCCACGCCCAGCGCCCGACGAAGGCGGATTTCCAGAACCAGCCGCACTCCCGCGTTCGAAGGCTTGTCGAACCCCGTCCAAATATTCCTTACGCTTTCTTTCGAGGGTAGGAATGCGCCTTTCACTATTCGTGGGGAGGTATCCAAGGAGCAGTTGCCAGGTCATCGCGCGAACTTCATCGGGGACCCCTGACCAGGCCAGATTCCTCAGGTCTGACAAGGAAACGGTGCTTGTCTGGAGAAGACGTTTGAACTTGTTTATTCTCGAAATGCGGCTGTTGTACATATCCAGCTCTTTGGGCGATGCATTTTTGGGGGGAGGCGCGTGGTTTATGAGGTTCAAGGCGTTGGCGGGGTCTGAAAAACAGAGGTTAGTACGTTCCAGCGTTATAACGAGGAGGATTTCATACCTTTCAGGATTTCTTTATACTGAGGTCGCAGTATCTTACCCTCCCCAGTTCCAGCAGTAGGATACATAGGGACGCCGCGCTCTTCAGCGATGTCCGAACTATTGGCCCGTTGCCGATTGGTTCCCAAACCAACCCCGAGTGATGAGGCGGTACTAGCAAGCCCCCCACCTGGGTCAGCAGGCTTGAGCTGGGAAGTGCCAGCTCGCTGCGACTGTTTCTTACGCATGCTGGTAATACTAGGGAGACCAAACTCGTCCTCATCGTCATCATAGACAATGTCTTCCTCCCCCTCTTCATCTTCGTAATCTTCTCCCAATCGGTCGGGGCCCCAGGAATCGATCCCGCCATTCATTATGTCAGAGTAGGATGTAGTATGAGGGGACGTAGACCACCCGCCCGACCGTAGGGGTGAAAGCGACGTGTGTTGGATATTGGCAGAGGATGACCGAGGCGGTGTCCGCGGGCGCGCATGCTGCTGCGAGATCCCTCTATTGGGGGAGGCGCACAGGTCAATGAAATGAAAGAGCCAAGCGCGAAGAGAGGAGAAAAAAAAATGACATGCAATGTACTAACTTTAGTATGTCAGCGTGCGAGTATGAGGCACCAACAACCGTGTTCTGCTCATGTTGCGTCGAGGCCGCTTGATTATGGGATACCGATCTTCCCTTCCAGAACGGCGAATTCACCCGCCTTTCAGGGGAGGATTAGCGCAAGAAACTCAATAATAGATGCTATGAGATGCCTTCAATGGCCCACGAGGGGAAATTGAGCGATGGGGAGTGAAACATACTCAGCACGGTCTGTTCATTGGAAGTGGGGGAGCTATATCAGCCACTGGATCTGGAACCCAAAAGACGGGGGTGTAAGAGGTACGAACCAACCTGGACCATCTCCTATAGAGAATCAAAAGCGATTGGGTTAGCTAGATATTGCATAAAAACTGAGAAAAATCGGGCTTATGGAGCTGAGGTCAAGACTCACCTGTTGGCCCTTCCTCGCAGCCATTGCGTTGCTAAGGAGTGCGGAGGCAACGATAGCATCAATTGAGCAGGTCTTGGGGATCGAATAACATGGAGAGAAGCACGGAAGCCGAGTGCGGGGAGGGCTGCGGCACGTGGATTCGGTGCTGCGTCCAAAGCTGGCAGGGGTTTGCCAACAACAACACCCCGAAGAATAACGTTGATCTGAATTGATCTACTTTTTTTTGGCTTACAGAGACCTCTCTGCGCGGGGGAAATCAGGGTAATTGTAATTGGAGTTGGTGGTCTGTCATGCCATAATACTTAGTACTCCTTCTGATGATGTTTTGCTGGTCGGGGGATAACACTCGATAAGGTCTTGCGTAAAGGTCTATTGACTACTGATACTAGCCCTTACGGACAATACCCACCTGGTAGTTTTCGTCAGGTACTGTGAGGAAGCAGTACCTCCCAGAAAGGAGAGACCTTGGTAAAGTATATTTTTCGATATTTAGAATGCAGATCTATATACTAGAGTCACGTATAGTCATTGATAATGAGTAGTCTTTAATTTTAAAAATTTCAACATGCATCAACATACTCTTGCAGGTTGAATTATTATAATTCCATACCTACTACATAGTACTTTAAGGTTCCTTACCGATGGCCAGATCCATTACAGTACAATACATATTATTACCGACGGGAATCTCTTACAGTACCAGCGCACAGCGTACTTGCCCAGTCAGCCAGTCCGTCACTCTTGACTCTCTCTTTCTCCTCGTCGCTCTCGCCTCAACCTCCGCCGTGTAGCTGCTTCTCCTCTCCTCTCCTCCACCTCTTTCTTCCTCCCTCCCTCTCTGCTCCTTGTCCCTACGACTGACCCACTTCACCCTTGCTCTTGTCGCCCTTCTTTTCCTTCTCTTTACTTAACTAGTTGTTTTTCTTACCATCTCCACTGAGGCAATATTTTGGCGATAATAGTTCGTCGCCATCGGTTCGTTGATACCTCTCTAGGTCGGATTTGACTGGCTCGGTTGCCTCCATCTCAGAGTTGGTCACCTTGATCACCTTTCTTTCCTGTCCTCCGTGCGACCTGATTCTTACCTGAATTTCTTTATTACAAGGTCACCATGGCTGAACCCGAGGACGTTGAGGAAGATCTTTTCGCGGATCTGTAGGGTGCTCCATTCTACCGGGATTGTCTAGGCAGTTTCTAAACTCTATGTTTTCTTTCTAGCTATGAAGCCGACGACAATACAAGCCATACCATACCCAGTACGGAAACTTCAAAATCTGTCGATCCTGTGCCCTCGGCTGCACCTATCAATCCCTCCCAAATCCCTATTCAGTCTGTTGAAACTGGCCCGATCGAATTTGAGACGGACACTTCATACCATCACCCGTATCAAGGAGTCCACCAGAACGGCCCGGATCATGTAGGTACTGGACGTGCACATCATGCCATGTCTGGTGGTGGTGAGTCCGAGCCTCGAGGCACTGGTATTAAAGAAGACGGGTAAGTGCTACCTCTGTTAGAGACTTCGTGCAATTTTTTTTCCTTGCTTGTACCTTGATTGCAATTGGACACGCGAGTGTTCATGCGCGATATAAATCGACCCCGTTTCACACCTATGCTGGGTTCTTTTTCTATCCTCTGAGGGGGGATGGCTCATGGTAGGTTGGGGATGCCGGTGATATTCGCATACGTACCGCCTTTCCTGCTGTGCACCGTGAACGTAACTAGTGAGTTGGGCGCTGGAAGCTGCGCGTCAAAAATCTTCAGCGGCTGGGCCAATGGTTCCTGGGGTGGGCTCTACTAAGATATACGGGCTTGGCGTCATGGGCAGAAGGATGAGGTTCTTTATCTAAGTCGAGGTCTTATCCGGTTGGGTCATCGTTGTTGCTAGATGGACGAATTCTCGGATAGCCTTGGACATGCAGCTTTCAGGCTCTTTCTTGGGTATGGATATCAAAATCACTCGGGCGAAGGCAAATCCACCTCGGCCGTGCTCGACTTGTTTATATCTCAGCAATCCACCGTCGGTATGACTTCCGCGGTGAGATTTACTTCGGTTTCCTGACACTGCGATCCCTTGTCGCGAGCGACTATAGTACAGCCGATACTATATAGCTTCTTGTCGATATAGCTTGATAGTGCACAGCAAGGAATAACAGCCTTGGCTGTCTGGTTGGGCAATGTCGATCAGATTACCTAGCTTCGGACATGATTAGACAGACTGGCAGAGGATCCTTGGTCCAGGGAAACAAGAACAAAAAGAAAAGAAAGTTGACTTAATCCGCCTGCCATGCTCCAACCCGTGGTTCTTTTGTCACTCACGCGCACTTCTTCTGTCGTGGGATACATCTCGCCTGGCCTTTTATTATCCACTGGGTCGCCCCGTAAACCAGTGGTCGAATGACTAGAGATATCTCTGTCCTCATTAGCCAGCCGCCCTCTGGCCACCCCGGTCGGTGTATACAAAACTCGGAAGTCGGCCCGTTTCAAGGAAACCTGAAGCACATGCACGGGCTGTCACTACAATCAGTCCAATGATTGACTTTGCTCAAGAACAACCTATGCCCTTCGCGCAACAGACACTACTCGATCAACGCAGGGAGTTAGATACCCCCATATTAGGGAGACCGGAACTTCAGGATCAGCTTAATAGCATTCACAATTAGCCTCCCCAAACAAGTGCCTGTTTCTTTCAAAAGCATGGGCCATCAGCCCCCCCCGCCTCCCAGCAGCAAAGTCTCAGCTCCTGTCCAGCTGTCTACTACTTATGCCCGCCTCTGATATCAAGATTATGTTCTCGTTTTTCGTGTCTCTATTCTTTTTTTTTCTTAAATTTTTTTTATACGTTTACTTTTGCGTTGTCTGCTTTCTTCAAGCCCTCGTGGCGTGGCCTCCTTTGCTGATATTGGTATGAGTTAGGAAAATGTTCATCGGGGGTTTGAATTGGGAGACTACGGATCGTATGTATTTCCCACAGACTACCAGTTCTATTCCAATCAAGTACAGCGTGTCTAACACAATGACCTAGAATCTCTGAAGGACTACTTTTCTCAATTTGGAGAGGTACAGGAATGCACTGTGATGCGAGACAGTGCTACTGGTCGCTCTAGAGGTTTTGGGTTCTTGACTTTCAGAGATCCGAAGACAGTGAACACTGTCATGGTCAAGGAGCACTACCTAGATGGGAAGATTGTAAGAATCTCTTTCATCCCAACATGCAGACCATTGTCGAATTATAAGCTTATGTTTGAATGACAGATCGATCCTAAGCGTGCGATCCCGCGTGACGAGCAAGAGAAGACTAGCAAGATCTTTGTTGGTGGCGTCAGCCAAGAGGCCAACGAACATGATTTCAAAGAGTTCTTTGCTCAATTTGGCCGCGTCATCGATGCCACCCTGATGATCGACAAGGATACTGGTCGTCCCCGTGGCTTCGGATTTGTGACCTTCGATAGCGAGGCTGCCGTGGAAGCCGCTCTGTCGGGCCCCTTGGAGATTTGCGGGAAGCCCATAGAGGTCAAGAAAGCTCAGCCAAGAGGCAACTTGCGTGATGAGGAAGACCGCAGGTTCCGCCGCGGCAGGGACGCTTTCCGAGAGGGTGGTCAAATGGGGGGTGATGGTTCCCAGCAGCAAGCGGGTGCACCGGGACAGGCCAACATGGCTGGTGGATTAACACCACAAATGATGGCACAGTACTGGCAAAGGATGCAGCAGTATTTTGCTCTGATGCAACAGCAGATGGCTGTCGCCGCCGCTCAGGGTCAGGGAATGGGCGGAATGGGAATGGGTGGAATGAACCCTGCCATGATGCAGCAAATGCAACAAATGAAGCAGATGCAACAGATGCAGATGGGCAACAATCAGCCTCAAGGCAGTCTCAGTCCTCCTTCGCAGAGCGCAACTCCTCAAGCCATGCCGAACATGATGAACCCCGCTATGATGCAGCAAATGCAACAGATGCAGCAGATGCAGAGCCAAGGGCAGGGCAGCAACGTTGGGGGCATGCCGGCCCAAATGGGAAATGCTATGGGAGGAGGAGGAGGTGGTGGTGGTGGTAGTGGTAATGGTGGAGGAACACCAGGCAGTGCTAATGGAAATGGGAACTTCACTGGTCCTCGAGGAGGGCCTGGTTATAACGCCCAGGAACAAATTGCTTTTGAACAGCAAAAGTATGAGCAGCAGCAGGTACGCCGAGCCATGGAAAACCGGGCCTTTTCGCCGTACCAGCAGGGCGGGCCCACTTCGTGGGAAGGCATGTACGATGAAGTGCCCCAGCCTAACATTCCTACTGGACCCCAGGCCATGAATCGCGCTGGAAGCATGGGACGCGGTATGTGATGATTATAGATGTCTGCCTTTCCGCTAGCTGACCCAGATGCAGGACCCACTCCGCAACCTCAAAGCGCTGCCCCAGCGAACGCTCCCACAGGACCCAAGAACGCTGGCAAGCCAGGCGCCAATTATCGTGGAGGTGGACGAGGAGGACACCGCGGCTTCCATCCCTATGCCCGGGGATAAGCCGGTATCTTTCTTTTGTGTGTGCGAATAGGTGTATCGTTCTGCTGTCGTCTCTTTCCGTTCTCTTGTTACTGTCATGGTTTTGGTCCTCCTCCCATCAAGTTTTCCCGCCTCCCCTATTGCAACTGCTGCTGCCTTTCATAACAATGGGGGGATGGATCTATCTTATCTCATACTCATAGTATGACCAATACAACGGTTGGTGAGGGGAGGCGACGTCCTGCCATCATTGATGATGTCTAATGTAACTTTCCGAGTGATGCTTTCATTCATTTTCCCTCTCATGGCTGCTTTTTACCTACCCCCTGTTGAAGTCTGGAGTCTCCTCGGCGGAAGGTTTCGAATCGAACCAGAAAAACCAAGAGTCGGTGTTGTTGCATATAATCCAAATTGGCGTTACCCTCAGTACTTCTTATGTCAACTTTTCAGTTCGAAAACCAAAATCACTGTTCTCGTTTTCCAAACTGCAAGCCGTATCCTGCGCTCATCGCAACGTAGCTGCAGGACTTACGTAGTCAAAACCAAGTTTTCCCAGATATTAGATGACCTTCACCATCCATCCAGTTCGGGTTTTGCAATTGCTATGATCATGATTAGGGATGAGTATATTTAAAATTGAATGCTTTCAATTTGGAGTTCTATCTTTCTAGTACAAGATGTAGGTCTCAGCACCCTCAAATCCGGCTGAGTGTGTGAGCAGAGAGTGTAGCTTGGGCGTCCTGTCAACGCAGTATTTCCCCGCAGGCTATCCACAAGAACGGGGTCAAGACAATGCGTAGGAGCAATCCCCTATGAGCGCCAATCTACAAGAGAGCCTGAAAGCTAGAACTAGGTATGAATGGTAATGGCAAGGTGGGAATCAGATGGGACAGAACAGAAAAGCAGACAAAGGGTAGTAGGAGAGTCAGAGAGGGAAAAAGGAGCGGCGTAACAAAATTGCAATGAAAACCAAGATCCACCATCAACCAAATCAATACGCTAAATTCGTCAAATTTGCCTGACACAAAAATTCTATGTTCAATATGTAAGATGAATATTGGGTCGAGAAAAGAAAATATTGGTACGTCGTCAAGTGCCATCCAGCGCAAACGGGCTTCAGTAAGCGAACCCATAGCCCGGGGTCGTGGCATGGTGCTTTTCGGGGTTTTCATGGCTGTCATGGCTTCGGCGGCTTTCTCGACTTATACTTCGACCATTGATGTCTTCAAGAGGATAGCTTGAATCAACCAACCGATCCGTGCTACCTGTAGGGCTGTGTCGCGATTTCGAATCATGTTGATCCCGGTAAGGTTCATAAGGACCGGTAAAGTTAAACTTGCTCATTTCAGCGAAATCCTTGCGTGGAGGATGCTCCATGAGCAGAGATTCACGGGCGTCAAGAGGGGTCAGATCGTCGAGGTCACGATTCATTTTGTCTGAAAACACAACAGTCAGCAACGCAAAGTGTGTCAAACCCGGTGTACTAGATCACTTACTAGCTTCCCTCTTCCGTTTAGCATGAGGGTTTTCGCGAATGCAGAGGATGATGGCGTTGGTGGCAATGAGAATGGCCAAGATACCACTCAGTCCCGACTGAATAGCAATGAGGACAATGCCGGTAACAGTTTTGGTCGTTTCCGAAAGTCCCAGCTCGTCGACGAAGATCAACACACACGCGATTGACAAGACACGAACCACTTGGACTGAAATGTTGATCCACTGGCTAGACTTGGCAACGTAAGGACGGTTCCACAGCAGAAGAGTGAGCATGAGAGCCTCCACGATGAGTTGACCAGCGCTTTGGGCAAGTCCATGACCATCTCCAGCAGCGATAACGCAACCCTTGGCAAACATGTATACAATGGCAGGGACGAAAGCCCACCAGTAGTCCTTTTTGTAGTTGTCGTAGAAAAGACTGTACTTGCGCCAGGTTTCGTCGTTGTCGTACAAATGGGACGCATCGCCTTCGGCCTTCTTGTACTTTCGAGCCACGAACATGATCTTCAGACCAAAGTACAATAACACAGCCGTGAAAACTGTGAGCGCCACAGCAGCCAAGAGCTTCGCCGCCCATGAATCCCCACTGCTGAGCTGATAGACACACCAGATCACCCAAACGCCGTACAGCAGCAAAATCAAGTTGGTAATTGTCCGACCCAGGAGACCCCAGTAGTCTTTGCGGAAGTTGGTAAGTTTGTCCGGGAAAGAGCCGTAGAGAGCCCAGACTTCGAGGATGACCTTGAGCAGCAAGATACCAACGGCGATAGCGGCAATTAGGATAGCAAAAATGAGCAGAACAGTCATGAAGGTATTGGCTTGAGGGATGGTGAGCTGTTCGGCATAGGCCTCAATACCGGAGACGAAATGTTCGAAACTACTGCTGTCATCGCTGGTGCTGTTAGACGACGAAGTGGTATTGCTGCTATACGAGGTCGAGACCTCGCGCGCAGCTAGGTTAGCCAAGCCTGTAACCAGATCCAGTCCTCGCTTCGATTTGGAACTAGTTGTCGTGCCGTCAGAGTACACGAGCGTGGCATTTAGAAGATACTGGTAGCTATTGTCGGTGAGATTTCCGCCGGTCGACTTTCGGAAGTTATCGATGGACTCCTGCATCTGACCCCAAGGAATCAAGCCCGTGCTAAAGGCAAAGTTCTTCGAAAAGCTGCGGTACACCGTCGGGTAGCTGACACTGAGCATTCCATTAGTGGCCATAGTATGAAACCAACTCACAACATCACCGAAGCTGGGACTAGACGAGACAGCACCAGGGTGGCCAACAGCACCCAGAGCTGACAGCCCGCTCACGGCCAATGCCGCACCAGCCACACCAGCAGCAGCATAGGATACACCCGCAATCTGCATAGAATTGCCATTGGTTAATTCCGATTGGATGCATGCCAGCTCGTCATTGTCGGTCTTGGACAGCAATTGAAGCTTCACTTGGCCATCCAAGTCTGGGATGGTGAAGGCGAGGGAAGGGATTTCACTAGCGATCGATTCAGGTAAGGTCTGGGTGCCAGTAGCGGAGAAGCTACCGGCAGCAACGGGACAGAGTTGCTCCACGTAGTATTTGCTGCTGCACGGGTCGAAAGTTTCAGAGTACAGTTGGTTGCCGTAGGCATAGATGGTCAGAATGGCAGTGACATTCTGTTCTACCCCATTGGTGCCGGAAACATCGAAGACGATTTCTCTAGTAGAACGGGTGTAGGTAACGGATAGTTTGTCGATTTGGATAGCCGAGTCTGACATACAAGTTGTCAGACCATTGGTGGTGAGGGTATCGGCAGCGAGGGCTCGAGTGGCCAGGAGACCCAGCGCCGTAAGGGTTGAAAAAGAAGGAATGATCCGCATATTGACAAGTGATGGATGTTGTTACTCAAGGCTGTGAATGTTCAAGGTGCCAGCATCAAGAAAGTCTTCACAGGGGGTTATGCAGGTAAGGGAGAGTTCTTTTTCGAAAGATTGGCGACGATTATAAGGGTATATTTTTGGCGCAAGATTGAATCGCCGATCAAGATCAAGCAGCAACTAGGCTCGCCTGATGATACGGAGATTGTTGACAGGATCAACCTGTGTAGAATGAAATCGCTTAGAGAAGGTGAATCAAACTGTTGAAGCTGCAAACAGATGCTCGAAAGAGTGTGCAGAACCGCAATACAAGATATCCAAGCAAGCCACGAGAGGGGATGCCGTTCCAAAAAGTGTGAGGGCCGCACCCACACCCTCTCACTGACTTGTGTCACTCGCTGTCCGTCGCAAACGTTAAGGGAGTGGAGGCAGGAGACCACGATTCATGAAGCGGGGGGCAGAGAGGTTTGAGAAAAAGAGAGTCTTGTGGGCAAACTGATTGTTTGCCAGCACGAGATAAGAGGATAGGCGCTCAACTCTTGAGACTGAAGAAAAGGGGTGGTGGCGGGTTGAGGAGAGCGCGCGGCTAGGCAGAGAAAGTGAGTGATAGGGTTGTGAGTAAGGAGTGGAAACGCGCGAAAGGGACAGATGCTGGCTAACAGATCAAACCGACGGATGAGCGACGAAAAGGGAAGAAAGAAAGAACCATGCAGAACGAATGTTGGATGGAGACAACCAGACTCCGAGGATAATGGGGTGGAGGAGGGGGGAAGAGAAGAGAGGGAGGGGAAGTGATGTGTGAAAGGAAAGATGAGATGGGATGGATAGTAGAGTAGCTGCCTGTCTCGTTTCTCTCTTTCTCTCTCTCTTCTAAAGTTACCTGCGACTTACAGCCCGTACTCTGCGTTACCACCACTCAGTAGTACTACTTCCTCCTGTCAGGTACCAGGTTAGTAGTAATGTTATTGGGTATTATTGTTGGCTAACGACCATTGGCCCGGCAGGTGGTTCGAGACTCTGACCATACACAAACAGTGGGAGTACTAAGTTGCCCCTGAGTGTCTCGAAACTTGCCCCATGCGAGCTTCTCATTGGGCATGTAATCAGGTCCCCCGCCCCAGAAGAGCAGCTGGTTGGTCAGGGACGGGCGGCTGGGGCCAGTCTGGACTTGCCGCTAATGAAGCTAGTCGTCTTGTTTCTGGGCTCGATCGTCTTTTTCTATTTTTCCCGGCGCCACCGTCCTGGCACAAAACCCAGTCACGATACATGAAGTCGGTCTCGTTGTGAAACTTGAAAATGGAGACTCGAACTATTCATAGCAAAGATACGATGAAAATCTTGTACTAACATAGGCTAGTTGACTGATTGTCTCTCTCTCTCTCTTTGTCTGTCTGCGCTACTTTTCTTATACTTTCTATGCACTTGGAGTGGCCTGCCTAGTGAAGATTCCAAACTCAAAAGATCATGGGTCAAGGAAGGGGGGGGGAAATGACCTGTTTTTAACTAACAACTACGGAGTAGACTAGTTAGTGGTTAGTGACCAGCCGATAGAAGCTTGACCTTCAACCTTCCCGTCCGTGTTGATTATTCAAGTTACTATTCTCATCTCCCAGTTTCCCGAAATAAAATTGCAAGGATGGCCCTGGTATAATTACTTCATTCTACTCCAGACGTACCATCTCGCCTACACACCATGAATTGAGTCTTGGTCGGTAAGCTGCCTGGTGGGGGTCGTGGGAAGTGACTTGGCGGCCCTCTCTGCCCTGCCCTGCCCTACCCTACCCTGCCAACATCCGTCAGCAGTGCAATCAGTAACCAAGTATTCCCCTTCCTGTCAGCAGTTGATAGTATGTTCGCAAGGTCGATCATCGTTTAGCTTTCTCTTCATGGAGCCCATTGTCATGGACAGATAACCGTCAAACTTTCAACCTGGACTCCACTATTTTTTTTTCCTCTTTCTTTCTCCCACGTCACTTCGCTCACACGGGAGGAGTCTCAAACATCTAGAACTAGTAAAGAATTAGACGCGGTTGGCAAACGTCCTGCCTCGTTGGGGGGGTCAGGGCGAAAATGGCTCCATCATGGGCCAAATCGTGTGGCCCAATCCTCTGCCGAAGCCACGCAGTAGTGGGGCGGGAATTAGGACTCCGTCACTCTTTTGAGTGAGAGTGAGAGTTAGAGGAGAGTAAATGAAATGAGTGATATCTAGTAGCCTCCTGATGGCCGCCTGCGTATTGTTGTGCTTACGGTCCAAACCGTTTTTTATTCTTTTACTGGTCGAATTGATACATAATCCTAGTATGTATCTCTAAATGTAGGCACAAGACAGACAGAAGGTCGTCAAGCTCAAGTATCACATGTTGGTCTTCTTATCCATGGTCTTGGAGCAGGTCCCCGACTCCACATTCCACACTCTGCGTTTTGTCGGCTCGATCCCATACTTCAGCTTTCCCATTCTTCAAAGCTCACGGCCCTTCCAGACCGAGTCCATGGTCGGTCTCGACGTCTAAGGAATGAGTTCCACCTCCCCTCCCCCGGCGGATCCATTGCCTGGACCATGGTTCTAGGAAACAATCCACGACATCAAGATGCCTTCTAATATGAATACGTATACTCTTCCTTACATTACTATCCCACAAGTTTCCACTTCGTCAATCAGGTACATACTTGAATACACAGGTCCATGGTTGATAAAATCTGCAAGGTGCGCCTGTGTAGTAATCCTTCCTACTCAAAATAGACCCCCATCCGATTACTTCATAAAATATACCGGAATGGCCTGTCAGCTTCATTCTTCCCCTCGGATTGGTCCCCACTCAAATTGCCCCCATTTTGCTCAGACTCCCTATCCAGATGCCGATTCGCCCGCCATAGCAGATACATCTGCCAGCATCCCATAACCACAACAATCAGGCATGCGCCGCACGAGATCCACATCCCCTTGCGGTAGTATGGCTTGTCGCTATCAGGGAAGACGTTCGTTCCCAAAATCGGACCGCATTGGCCGCCAGTAGCCAGGATAGCAAAGGCTCCAGCGCGCTTGGAGTCCGTGGCGTGTGTGTTACCAACCCATGTGAGAATGAGAGCCACGGACACAAAGACCTGGGTCGCCAGGAACAGGCCAAAGTACCTGACTGCCACCGTGGTCTGCGTAGCTAGCACAATGTATCCGATGGCAGCTATGAGTGCGCCACCCACGATGAAGGGCCCGCGCAAGTTGACGCGATCCGATAGAAATGCACTGGTGACAATGGCTATCCAGCAAAGGACATATGGAGGAGCGCTGAGACCGTTTGATTGGATGGTCGTGAAAGCCCCCATTTCAGAGATGATGGTCGGCACGAATAATGGGAGTGAGGCGAAGCAGACATTGCATCCAAAGTACATTAGTGCCGGGGGGTAGCCTATTTGGATGCATCAGAAGAGGGGGCACAGGAGGACCGGTGCCTTTGGGTACTTACTCGTATAATCAAGCAAGGATCCCAGCACTTGCTTCAATTGCAAACCCTGGGTTTCTCGATCCCCAGGTTGTCGTAAGGAGAGTGCAACCGCGATTTCTTGCTCCCGTTCATCTAGAAATCTTGCTGTCTTGGGTGAATCGGGCAGACAAAACCAAGCAACTATGGCCAGAAGGCATGACGGCACACCTTCCACGATGAATAGGATTCTCCATGGTCCGATTGACCCTTTGGCTTGGGAAATTCCATACGCCAGAGCACTCCCATATGCATTCGCTAGAGCGGCTCCTGACAAGAATATGCCAGTCCGGAGGCCCAGTTTCTCACGCGGATAAAAGTAGGAGAGATACAAGGGCACCCCTGGCCCATACATCGCCTCGATTATTCCCAGAAAGACTCGGCAGACCATCAGGCCGGCCCAGTTTGTACATGCTGACTGAATAGTCGAGACAAACCCCCATAGGAACACAGTGACACCTACCCACCGGTGTGGTGGGAACGCTTTCCACCCGATTGTCGTCCATTGCGACAGAATATCTGATTGCGCTTGTTAGGAGATGCTCTAACCAAGATCAAGCAGGCTTCTGAAGTCGCTGCAAGAGGCAATTGATGGTCTAGGTAAGGTTCATAACTCACAGGCTATATAGAAAGCAGTGGCAAGCCAATCATACCGCCTCCCACTCAAGTCTATGTCATCTTCCATGCCTGCGATCTTCGCATTTCCCAGATTCGAGCGGTCAAGGACCGAAAGACTATATAGGACGAAGACCAGGGGCATCAGATTCCAGTCGAGTTTGCGGTAGACGCGGTTCTCATCCTCTATGCTGAAAGTCGGGTCAGCAATCCCAGGGGCATTGCCCTTCACATACTTCAATTCTGAGATGTCTGCCTTTACGTCAGGATTCTCGACCGCATCCCCTGTTCGGTTGCTCATGGTTGCTAGATTGTTGGCTGTCTAGATAGTAGATACAGATCGCTGTCTCCTCAATCGTGCTCTCCGTTCCAGGTTTCCATCGCCTTTATGAGCAAAACCATTCCGAGGCTCTTGACATCGTTCCCCGCACATTTGTACAAAGTTAACGGAAAATGGCTATATGATCACACATTGTTATCTCCTACAAGACGGGAACCGTCTTTCCCCGCATTTTCTCCGCGGAGGATGATTCTCCGCTATCCCCAGATGCGGCTTTGATAGCCTATAGGAACTGTCCAATCTGCCGGATGTCATCCTTGGTTTCCAAGTTCCAGCACCAATCGCTGATTATCATGGCCTGTTTTGGGCCAAGAACTGAACTACACTGGCCAATGAACTTCTCCGTGAGCTGGCTGTCGGTCATGGGGGCGTCGATACTGCCAACTGCATGGTGTACATGCTTCTCTATCTGGACCCCCGGGGCTTCAAATTCAACGAGAATCCGGCATTCATCCGCTCGGATATTCTCTGCCGCCGTTGCCACAAACTTGTCTCGTACCTCGATCGTTTCCGAATTTGTGACAACGGCATCTTCATACTCTGCTGGTGTTGCCTTTCCGTGAATCAAGCCAATCGCACCGCCGTGATAAACGCTGAACTTGGCTTCCAGCCCATCTTTAGGTTTTGTTTTCCCCGTTAGCTCCAAGACCAGTGGGTGAACTGTGACATGAACACTCTTGATGTCTTGTAGTCTGAGGCCCCGCCGTTGCAGCTCACCATGTAGCCAAACACAGCCATCAATGACCGGGTGTATGACAATACCACACGGGAACGGCTTAAAGGCGTTCTTCGCAAGTTCCCACGTTCCATTGGATTCCAGGCTGTCAATTTCCTGCGTTAGCTTGTCGTCGTTACTCACGACCTTCACCCAGCCCCGCTTGGCCTCCAGAGCCTGCAAAGAACTGGTGTATCCATCTGCAGCAAGTATAGCCGCTAAAAGACCATTTTGGGCTGCGCGCCCAGGGTGAAAGGACTTGGTGTGCGAGCCAAACATCTCACGAAGACCAGTCACCTGGGTAGCAGCGATACCGATAGCATGAGCCGTCTTCTCTGGGCTCAATTCGAGAAGACGAGACACCGCCACTGCTGCCCCGATAGAACCAGTAGTACTAGTGATGTGCCTAAAGAATGGTGTCAGTCCATCAAACAGGGCTGTTTTGGGTGAGGGGTCCGTGGGGGCGAGAAGCCTAGCAGACATACCAGCCGACATCATAGTGGCTCGGCCAGACAGCCAGACCGGCCTTGCATTCTAATTCTATCCCTGCGGCGAGAGCCGTGAGGAATTCTTGCCCAGATACTGGCCGATCTAGTGACTGCGCAAAGCTTAGAAGAGCTGCCGCAACAGGCCCGGTAGGGTGAATGATAGTCTCCAAGTGCGTGTCATCATAGTCGTGGACATGCGATGCAATTCCATTGATCAACGCAGCATGCTGCGCATCAGCTTGGAGCCCATTAGTACCTAACAATGTTGAGGTGGGAGACCCGAAGAAGCGGGACAAAGAGTTCCGGGCAATGGAAGCAGCGGGGTGATTGCTGCCCCCGACAGTGCAGCCGACCCAGTTGTAGAAGCTCCGGATGGCCGCTTGGAGGGCGTCCGGAGGTAACGAAGAATACGATAGGGATGCTGCCCACTGGGCAGCTTTCTGTGTAGCCATTGTTTGCTTGGAGGATTGCAAATTTGGGGGAATGAAGCTGCAGAGAAAATAAAATATTGGCAAAGGGAAAATGGCGAGGGAGGAAAAGAGGAAGGTGGATGAGGGGAGATATTTTCCAGTTCTGGTATTCTCCACCGATGCCGCGTTTCCTCTGGGTGGAGTTGAATAAATATATACATCTACCAGTATCTATACATAGCCAAACTGATGCCCCCATGAGATACTACTACTATTAGTAGTACATACATTACTGATGTATGTCATGGCCCCGTCCCTGAATCTACTTGCCACCCAAATACTAGACGTCGAATCTTGAGCTTGATTCATATTAGTGAGAAGTAAAGATAAGATAAAAAAATACTGATTGGCCCCGTCTTAATTCTTTTAGCTTCCCAAATGTATTTCCTTGGGAACTTCTATATATACAAACTCCGTCAACGTTCAATGTCTCATTTACGGGTAGACTTCTCTTGCATCTCCCGCATCGCTGCTCTGGCACTTCTACTGCCTCCCAATTTGGGCCCGCGCGGAGCCTCGGGCTTGGTTGTCTTCGTATTCCTTGCTCGCGCAACACGACGCCGGGATTGAATGGCATCGAGAAAGTCCCTTCTGAACTGCTCTGCCACCCTATCATCGGCCGCTTGCCCATCCTCACCCACTGCTTCGTCACCTTCCTCTTCTGGCCCCTCGTAGACATCCACTTAATATCGACATATACGTCAGCGCAAAGGACTTTGATAAGGAAGAAAAACTCCCAAAAAAAAAAAAAAAAAACAACGCGGTCCCAGTGCAATCTGAAGAATCGTATGGAAGACTCACATTTACTTTCCCGTAATACTTCCTCCACCAGTCGATCTCGTTCAATGTCTTCACTCGTCCGTCGTTTCCGATTGCGCCACGTCTTCTGGTCCCCATTTACCGGGGCCATCCTGGGCCCGGAGCTCTGCTCGGTGGGAGGGCTTTGATCGCTATCCCCAGCGAGTCTCTTCGTCGCTGCCTCTGTACGGGCAATATTCTGCAACGTAGTCTCGTGACCAAGATCAATTTCGTGCAGTTTCCCAAGAGACGCCGGTTCGCGTTGGGGAAGGTCAGTAGAAGACAGAGCAGCCGCTTTCGGTTCAGTCGCCGAAGGTGTATCATGCATCGCAACTTCGGTTGAATTATCGCGCCGGTATCGCTTAGCCATTTCAGACTCTATAAAATCCATCCTTATCTTGTTAGTCGCCATTGCAGTTGGAGCGCATGCGAAGCACAGAAACAGAGACGGAGGAGTCGTACATATGCTTGTCAACATCAACCGTTTGGCCAGTATGGGTCGTGAATCGATCGCACATTGCTCGCAATCTTTCATTTTCTTGATCCTCCTCCGCCAGGGTTGAAATGGCCGTTTGACTATTCTTACCGGCCGGTGGCCGCGAGGTGGCGGAGAATTCGACGCCACCCTTTCGAGCTCGCTGAAGCCGTCGCGAACGAAGAATCTCTGCTGTGGGGACAGAGCTTGGGGCATCCTGCCAGGACGGAGGTGTAGATGATTCTGAAACACGAGCAACATCTTCTGTCGCAGAAGGCGATTCCTCGTCGTTGTCCTCTGGCCGGCGTCGCTGAAACTTCCGCCTCTTGCCCGGCCGGAAGAGGGAGGCTGGGTCAATTTCTGGCTCCATGAAGTAAGTCCCTGAATTCCCCGGGACAGATAAAGATCCCACTTGGCACTGAGAGATAATTTATACGGAGAAAATGGTCAAAAGGAATTATTGTGCAGTGAAACAAGGAGATAAGACCGAGGCGATGGCGGTAGATGGAGAGCAATCGGTAGTAGTAGTAGAAGTAGTAGATAATAGAGTCCGGCGCGCTCTTCCCGCCGCGCCGCGATTATTCATTCAATCATCGGCCATCTCAAGTTAACTAGTAGTTACCCGTGCCTCCTCCACTATCAATCAATCAAACCATCTGCTCTAATCGCTTCTTTCTCTACCTCTACCTCTGCCAACTGCCCCGCTGCAACCTTTGGCTACAAGATCCCCACCGCTTGTCGTCAATTTTCGATTACTCTTTCCCTCCCACATCGGCGTCGTTGGTTGAATTCGGGCAGTGAACCATCCTAAAACCTTTCGCCTGGCTCGTCTACGCCGACCATGAATCCCTCCATCCCACCTTCCACGGCTGAATATGGCGGAGGTATGTCAATTCCTCTGTTGCGCGTAGCTGAGGACACATTTTTTTTTTCTTGCGCGACACTTTCTTGTTAGCACTTCTGACCCTTCAATGTCTAGATGAGGTGTCGGCGATTGTGCTCGACCCCGGCTTCTCGACGACACGAGCTGGATTTGCAGGGGAAGACACACCCAAATCCCTGATTCCGACATACTACGGGAGATATTCTTCAGATGGCCAGTCGAAGTTGGTCTTCGGTGATGATATCTTTGTTACGCCCCGGCCCGGTCTGTCGATTCACAACCCAATGGGTCGCGATGGAATCGTGGAGGACTGGGACATGGCAGAGAAAGTATGGGAATATGCCTTCACTTCGCGCCTGACGGGCCCAAAGCCTGGAAATCCCCTACAGAACGGATTGAACGACGTGCCGGAGGGCGAATTATCTACAGAAATGGAAGGGGTGGAAACCGAGGAGAAGCTGCTTGCTGATAGTCCGCTGCTGATGTCGGAGCCCGGCTGGAATCCCACGAAGTCGCGCGAGAAGACTATCGAGCTTGCTATGGAGAAGTGGGGAACCCCGGCCTTCTATCTAGCCAGGAACGGTGTTCTTTCAGCGTAAGTACCGACCTGTCAGTTCGATGGCCTGAGTCTTTGTAGATCTCGCTAACATGCTTCCTCGCCTAAAGCTTTGCGGCCGGCAAGGCTTCCGCCCTTGTGATTGACATTGGCGCTTCTAACATCTCCGTAACCCCGGTCCACGACGGTATGATACTGAAGCGGGGAGTGCAGCACTCCCCTCTCGGTGGTGATTATATCTCATCTCAGATCCGCGCTCTCTTCAAGTCGAACGCCCCGCAGCCGATAACGATCACTCCTCATTATCTGATCTCGTCCAAGACAGCAGTTGATGCCGGCCAACCCCCACAAGCTAAATACAAGACTTTCGCCCCCGACAGAGCTCCTGACGCATCTTACAGAACACTTCTGGAAGAGCGAACCCTGTCCGAGTTCAAGGAATGTGTTGTCCAGGTCTGGCCCGGCCCCAACAAGCTCTCCGCCACAGGACCCAACGGCGTCTCGAACGAAGAACTGGCCAAGAGCAGCCCCGGCCGGCCCTTCGAGTTCCCCGACGGCTACAATCAGGTCTTCGGAGTCGATCGCTACAAGGTCGTCGAATCCCTATTCGACGCCAAAGCTGCAATCCCGGACCCCGAATCGGCATTCCCCGCACCGACGCCGGCACAAACTGTGCCCGAGCTCATCAAGAATGCGTTGAACGGCGTCGACGTCGACATCCGCCCGCACTTGTTGGCTAACGTTGTTGTCACGGGTGCCTCCAGCTTACTCTATGGTTTCACCGACCGTTTGAACCAGGAGCTCATGCAGATGTTCCCAGGTCCACGCGTTCGTATATCGGCCCCAGGAAACACCGCGGAGCGGAAGTTTGGCTCTTGGATCGGTGGAAGTATCCTCGCCAGTTTGGGTACCTTCCATCAGATGTGGATCTCCAAGAAGGAGTTTGACGAACATGGTCCGAATATTGTCGAGAAACGCTGCAAGTAGAAGATTGTCTTTGTGATGTCTTACTCGTCTTTTATACGTCCCTCAATCTTCCCCTCCGCCTTCTCTCAAAAATTTATGTTCCTTTTTCTACCTTCTGTTGTTTACTGCCCTTAATCATTTTCTGAACACCTTCGTGTGCTATTCATAACTACAGCCCAGGAGAATCGGTGCATCCGTTAAAACGATTTAATTCCGGTGTGAATATCGAGACATAAATGTCTCTCCTTTATATTGTTTACTAGTTCCAGCTAGATGTACCGCGCCGTGCATCTTACGCGCGTAAGCCAGTAGACGATGTCCTATGGCCGCAAAGCTGCTGAGGTACTCAAGGTTCCGTCTGATATGGGAACGCCACGACCTGACTACAATGTGAACACGAAAATACGTAGGCGCATATACAACAGAGATAGATAGATACTTGCTTCACCCTATCTTGTTGTCGTTGTATTGGTTGCACTGCCTTTGCGTTCTGGTCGCGTGGCTCACAGGGCCGAAACTAGAATTTGTCGTACAGAGTAGTAATCCGTATTGGGGGTATTACAAGATATTCCCGGGCCCGAAAGGCACAAGGACTTGCTGCTTGCCTTGTTCCACATCGCAAACGGATCGGTTGTTCAAGCAACAATGTGTGGCGAACTTCGGCCCCAGTGACACTGAACTTGGACTTTCAGATGGCATGCTCGGCAGGCTTGAAGCCGCCTGGAAATATCCTGGCCTTATCAGGTAAAGACCGTGGCAGGCTCAGAGGGATGTCCGAGATTGTATCCAGGATAAAGCGAATGAGGATGGAATTCTTCCGTATTCACCGGCGCGGCTGGTATGGAAGGAAGAGCTGTTATGACCGATTGTGTATCTTCAAGCTCCGCTTCAGGGTCTTGGTTTTCTAGTTCGTTATCATCCTGCGCAAGGCTAAATTGGACCGAAAGGACGTGGATCCTGGGTCCGACATCCCTCTTTGACTTTAAGGAATAAGTAGTCATCGCGCCAGCATCCTCCTGGAGCCATGCCATATCATTGTTCAGATCAGATCCGACCATGTCCGATCTTATTTGTAGACAGCCATCGTCATTGATGGACGACTCTGCACAAAACTCGCTCCAAGGGCCGGCCTTTTTGGCCTGGGAGGAATCCTCGGTATTGTTTTTCTCTTTTTGCGTTTCATGTTCCCAAGCATCAACCACTTTGTCGGATTTGAAATACTGCAGTAATTGGTTTTTCATCGTTTCTCGTCTCGCTGAAGGTTGAGCAGCAACCGGACGTTCCGTTTGAGCTGGCACCATTGAAGTATGAGCCGTCTGACTTGGTTCCCTTTTACTTTTGTGCAGGGACTTCAGTGGTTCCAGATATATACTTCGAGCTTTCGACGCCCTGGAAGGTGCAGTGGAAGGGCGCACTGGTAGGGGTTCTGGATGTTCGCTTGCAAGTTCCCTTGTTCTGAGCTTGGATCTGGAGAGACGGCGAAGCTTAAGCACAAAGCCTTCTGAGTCGAAGCCGTCAGTAGTACCGTTGACAGACTTGGCTCGGTCTGGTAGCTTCGTGTGCGCATTACGCTCGTCATTCTCCCTGGCCGCCCTGAGATTCGGAACACTCTTCTGCGTGAGCCTATTACGGTCAGTCGACCGGGAGAGGGTCGCCGTCGCCGGACGGTCCGGAACACGGGGAAGAGGTTTGTTCGGAGTCGAGGCCGGTGCGCTAACGAATGAGCCTCTTTCCATGAATCGTTGCCGCAGTGATTTCTTTCGGGTCAATCCATTGGTACTTCGCATGTAGGACACCTGTTGAAATACTCAGCTCGAGCACGCAATTATGGGTCTAACAGTCCCCTGGTAACTTACAACAGCTTTTCGACTTGCTACTCCCACACGTCGCTGCAGCTCTGTCGTGGCTAGGCCAAGCTGAAGAAGGGCCGATTGTAGAGCGACACCTTTCCGACGGAGATTCGAAAGTGCTATGTTCCAGCCCTCCGCGTTTGCGAGCATAGCTTGGTAGACAGCCAGTAGTCTAACAGGCAATGGACTATGCTTTTCGGCTGACTGTTGAAGGTATGTCCATAGCGCACCCACCGCCTCCCGGCCTTTTTGGATGTCTTTCAGGGAATCTTCGATCGCAGTTGCGAATCGATCAATGGCGTGTTCGATCCTGTCATTATATTCGATCATAGAGCCACGGAAACTGCGCTCCTCCAGCATCTCATCGAAAATCATTAGATTCTCGAGAGGTAGGCTAAGATACTTACTCCGTGTGCGCACGTCAATCTGGATGATTAGAAAATCTTCCGAGGTCCTCTTAAGAAATCCATCCATCTCGTCTACATGAACCTGAAGGATTTTCAAGACCTCCACGTCGGACTTGGCGAGTTTTCCAACTAGGAGGTGGACCCCAAAGGACATCTGGGCGATGAGTTTCCATAGGGGGTGATATCTAGAGGCAGTCAGTTTACAATGTTGCTGAGCGAGTCCAAGGGACCGGAGCTCGACTGAGAGCTTGCCTTTCATCGGCTCTCTGGCGCCATTTCCTGCCACAAAGCCGTTCATACTTGGGGCTTTCGAGTAGGAGTTTGCGCCGAGATTGAGCATCAATATTGGCTACCCATCTACCGTTCCCAATGCCAATGGCTTCCTGTATCGATTCCTCGAAGGGTCCCTGCAGCTGAGAGATTGGGTGCCTTGAGAATTGGCCTGGTCGCCGTTCCTTGGTTTGTTTGATCCCCTCGCTTGGTCGGGCATTGGCAGAAACTGCCAACCGTCCTTCCCTTTCCGCTGGAGACGCCATAAATAGGTGTAAAGACTGGAGTTCAGTATCCGTGACCTTGTGTTCTAGTTGCACACACACGCGCACACACACGCACACACACACACACACACACACACACACACTCTCTCTCTCTCTCTCTATCTTCGTCTCCCGTAATTCAATTGCAAATCCGTAAATGATGGGCTATAGTGATCTTGCTCGCTCTGCGCAACAACAGCATTATACAGGTAACTACCTCCTCGCGATCAAGCTGCACACGGCCGAACCCTCAGCGGGATATCTAGGCTTAATGAAGGGGTTGCTCATAGTAGCATCCTTGCAGTAAATCTTTTTATCAGGTCGAGCAAAGAGCGCATATAAGCAACGACAATAATATTTAACGGCTGTGGCGAAGACATGTAACGGAGTCCGCAGGCCTCCGTGTACACGTTGCTGTATATAAATGGAAACACGCACACGCACACGCACACGTATACACACGCCCGTGCAGACACAAAGTGGAAGGCGGGTGGGGTGAGGGTGAGGGTGATTAATTGCTTGATCGTTGGGTAATTGAAAAAAGAAAGAAAGAAAGAAAAAAAAAGAAAGAAAACGAGCAAGCTTCAGCTGTTGATTAGATTGCACATGGGAGACGTGACATGTGTCAAAAGAGTGGTGGGACCGCCGCAGGAAGTAAATTGATAGCAATATAGGCGAGGCGAGGGAGGAAAATGTTCGAACAATTCGTGGGAATTTGCGCCCAATCGACCCCGCCGATGTTAGTTAGGGCTGAGGTTGGTTTATCTCCAGTCTGGGGACCCGGACAGCTAGCTAGCTTTATACAAGGCACAGACGGAGTAGGCTGTGGAAGAAAGAGGTGGCAAGTGGTTATCCCCAAGTTTATAGAAGAATGAAACGTAGAACAGACACTAGACGGGTTGGAAAGGGGGTGGAGGGGAGTTTGGTTGAAAGTGGAGGTCAACAATTTAAAATTACAAGCAGCCGACAGGCAGCCCTCATGGCCTTCCGGGCCTTACGAGTCACCCAAAAAAAAGAGCCAGGATTCATGGAAACGGGGCTGAGGCTACTTTGTAATTAGCACAAGCATAATTCCATTGACAATGCGGACGGTGGACACCAATGGCGGTCCTCCAGCGGCTGATGTTTAATGAGAATCGTCGGAAGATGACGATCTGATGTCGGGCGACTCCACTTGGCCGCAACACGAACCGGTCAATACCGGTCGACGTCTAGACTCCCTCGGCCTCTCCTAACGAACCATCTAACTAGTCTGCCCCCCTCGTCATGCCATGCCTCTGCGTACTCTGCCTGCCTTGCCCCTACCTTGATCATTGGCCCTGATCGTAGCGAAAGGATGATCTGATAAGCTTGTTGGGCTCTCACCTCTGTCTGGGCCGGCTACTTCGCTATATTCAGCGACGAGTTACTCAAGTGCTACATGAAGTAAGCTTGGCCGAGTGATGAGCCCGTCAGCCTTGGTAGCGAATAAAGATCGGCGCAAATTCGAGCCAATTCTTGTCGTCGGTCTTGCGAACCTGCGCGCAGACCATGATGCCGGCCCCCGAAGATGCTGTAGCCAGGACTGCGCTCGCCCTAAGCCGAGCCTGGAATTCCTGACGGGGTATCCTACTAGGTCCCGGGAGGTGGCTCTGCCATGAACAAGGGGTCCCAGAAATTGGTGGGCAGAGAGAGATCGAGGAAATCTCCAAACAACGTGTCGATGTCCGTAAAGCTGTCATGTTCAGGGTCTGGAACACTGATATCTTGCGAGTAAAATGGCCGGGGCGGAAGTTCCTGCCCTAGCGCAGTCGAGGGCGCCCCACTGCGTACATTACTCAGAGTACCCTGGGCGGGATCGAAAGACGAATCCGGAGGCGGGGAGAGAAACGCCCTCGGATTCTGGGTTGTGGGCGTGGCGGGACTGGCAGCCCGGCCATGTTGGTGATGTCCAAGCTCGGCCTCGTCAATTTGGTGCAACGCTTTCCGGCCCAGTCGTGCCGTTGCTTCTGCAGAATACCAGAGCCCGCCCAGTTCTTCGAGCAGAGTACAGCAAGCTTCCAGGCTGGTTCGGGCTCGATCAAGATGCGTGATGAGCTTACTTGAGCGAAATTGTTGATATGACACACCCATAGAAAGTGCTAATGCGTATGGAACAATCGGCAAAGGCGGTAACTCTTGGGAGCATTCGATAGCAGCAATGGAGTGGATTCGGATGGCAGCAAGACCTTGGCGGACATATGAAGGCCTGGACTCATCCGACCGGTGGGTAACCTTGTATCTGCATGACAGTATGGCAACTGCATGATAGTAGAGCTCAAGGAGACCTTTTCTTTCCGTGATTAGCAAACCGTCCTTGGAAACAGATCAATCCCCTTCCCCTCTCAGCTAGGCCGTACCATTTCTTCTCAGACATGGGTTGATGGAAGACATGCTAAAGAGACATACCTAGTGTAGTGAAGTCCAGGTCATCTTGCAATTTATCGCCTGTAATGCCTTCAAATGCAGGGAATTCGCCCTCCCATCCAACTGTATGGTCCGATGATGGTCGATAAAGCGAGATCACGGTCGACAGTAAATCAGATATTGCAAACCAGATATCAAAGGCGGATCTGGGAGAAATATCCTGAATTTTCGGTTTCTCAATTCCGATATCGCAGTCGGAGAGGATGACTGGGCGACCACCAATACAGGCATGCATCCTATCCAGGCCCCATAGGCACCAGAAAAGGTTGAATAGAGAATCGCCGGGTGCCCGACCCGGTCGGTCCAAATGCAGGCCTACCGTCTGAGCTTGATGAATGGCCTGACACAGGTGCATAGACGCCGCTTCTGCACCTTCGTAACCCTCACAATGCAGTGACATAAGGGTCAAGATGCGAATACGACAAAGTCTATCAGATTCCAGCCCGACATTTAAAGCGACTACCAACCCTTGATATAGTTTAGAGCAGAATGAACGAGAGGAAATGAGGGGACCATCATTGCTAAAGCGAAGGTGAGGACCAGCCGCCCTATCTTTAGCAGCGACAAGGCAAATGGCTCTCTCCAAAAAAACAGATGCGACGCCATCCGAGTTGGCTTGGGCGAAAGATGCCTGGTCGACAAGGGGCAGGATATGGTTGACCTTGCTGAAATAGATGGAGAACAGATGATGGCGGGTAGAATGGGGCAAACGACCACAGGCATCCATACCAGATGAATATTGTTGATTGAGCGCGGATGCGACGGATTGTAACTCTGGTCCATTTTGGGGACGGTGTCCGGTCCACTCAGGATCAGTATTAGGCACATGTTTTCTATGACCGTGAACGTCTGAGGAGCTGATCCAGAGCCCGATTCGATCGCGCAGATGGCTTGCGTTGGCAGAGTCCAATTTCTCCCTGATCACAGCTTCTGGGTTCAGATCACCAACAAACCGTTCAGTTTGGGAGGTGCTCGAGGGCACGCTGCTTGGATTGCTAAGGCTACCGGCTAGGGTCGTATCAACCGGTTGATCGCCGGTGACCGTGGTACTCTGTTGTTGCCGTTGAAGCGGTACATGGCTGCTAGCGCCTGTCTGTAGGACGTGATTATGGCTTACGCCGTTTGCTGTGTCTAGATGGCGGCAGCGTTTCTTTTATCAGAATTTAGCCACCAGTCCACCACAAAATGGGAGATCACATACCTTTCGTCGTTGGCAAGTCGCACATGCTCGCAACGCCCGCGTCCGGCGTCTAGATTGAGGGGTATCGGCAAGCCAAGTAAGCTCCATGGCTTTTCTTTTTGTTACTATTTAATGACTCAAAAGTAATGACTCGCCATGCCAGGTGCTTTCTAGTCTTATTTTTCTGGGTAAGCAGCGTTCTGTGTAAGTCGACGACTAGTTCATGATAGAACCGGTAATTAATCGATTAACCAGGTAAACTACTTAGTTTGAGTAAGTAACGTGTATCTGGCCATTAAGGATATTCCCGGGTTGACTTGCACGTACCTTGGTTGATAGGCAAGGAAAGCAATGGTCTAGATCTCCAAGGATCAACTTATTTCCTACAGTAGTCATTACAATGTACTAGTTCATGCTCTAACTTACGGGGGAAGTATTGGATAGCGCGTACCACGAAGATTACGCCGTGACGACATCCAATTCTTATCGAACGGAGAATTGATATTCCTCCTCCCAGACGGTCCGGACCTGTCATGGACGCCCAATTAACGCGTGGTTTCGCGCAACTGCGACGCGTTTGCCGGCCAGTGCTCCGCTGCGGCTGGAAGAGTTTCTTGAGTATCCATTCCTATGCATTATCTCCTGACGATTCGACCTATTCGAAGGATACCCTCACCCAGGTGAGTCCATTGCTTTTCTAAAGGGCTTTCCCTGTCCTCCTTTTTCGCTTCCTCATCCTGTTTCTTTCTTGTTCTTCTTTACCCTCGCCTCACTTTTGTAATCTGTCAAGTTCCCTTCCCAGCTTCATTAACGCTACTTCATCGTCTGCCTCTTCCCATTGATTCTTCCCAATCGATTTTTCTGGCCCCCATTCTCTGGAGACATACCTTCTCACAATCACCTACAGAAGGCGACACACGATTGTCGGCAACATGGCCGGTAGAGCGGGCATGAAACGTGATGCTAATCATTTGACGACACCAGAGGCCGATTCCAAGAAACCCAAGGCCAATGGAAGCATCACTTCATTCTTTGGGGCCCCCAAAAGCAAACCCAGCGACCCAAAACCCACTTCGTCTTCATCGAGCTTCAACAAGCAGAAATGGGTCGACTCATTGACTCCAGAACAAAAGGAGCTCCTCCAACTTGAAATTGACACTCTCGACGAGAGCTGGCTGGCACAGCTTAAGGAGGAAGTCGTCAAGCCGGAGTTCCTGGCGCTGAAGCGCTTCCTCCAGAAGGAAAAGCAATCGGGGGCTAAAATCTTTCCTCCCGAAGAAGATATCTACTCATGGTAAATCGCCATCGTCTTCCAAATTGACGCTATCATTCATATGAGCAATTGGGGTAACTAATCTTGAATACTAGGTCTCGTCATACGCCTCTCCACAAGGTGAAGGTGGTCATCGTCGGCCAAGATCCTTACCATAATTATAACCAGGCTCATGGTCTTGCATTCTCCGTCCGCCCTCCAACTCCTGCCCCGCCTTCCCTCGTCAACATTTTCAACGAAATTCATAATGACTATCCCTCTTTCCAACGACCCGCAAACAAGGGTGGCCTTCTCATACCCTGGGCCGAGCGTGGTGTATTAATGCTGAATACTTGCTTGACTGTACGCGCACATCAGGCCGCTAGCCATTCAAACAAGGGATGGGAATTGTTCACGCAGAAAGCCATAGACTTGGTGGCCCGAGTACGGACGCGCGGAGTTGTTTTTCTTGCATGGGGAACACCCGCAGGGAAGCGTGTGACAGGCATCAATAGAGCGAAGCATTATGTTCTGCAATCGGTCCATCCAAGCCCGCTAAGTGCGTCAAGAGGATTCGTAAGTAGATTCCTGTTACTATCGGTTATGTGCCATATGATATTGACGTTGAATTATCTTGCAGTTCGGAAATCAACATTTCAAAAAATGCAATGAGTGGCTTGCGGAACGTTATGGTGCCGACGAAGTCATCGACTGGTCATTGACTTCGAAGAGCAAAATCAGCTCACCTTTTACCACCATCCAAAGCCCTGCTCTCACTGGTGCACCGAAAAAACCTATCGCTAAGGAGTCAGATGCTAGTTTGGTGAAGGAAGAGGTTTCCAAAACAACAGAGCCTGCCAAATCTACCGAGGCCGTTGACGAGTTTGAAGACGATCTCGATGCGCTGGAAGCCCTAGCAGCAGCAGAAGTGACCAGGTAGATGCTAACACTGGGTACTTCGTAAAAATTTCAAGTCTCTTTCCCTCATTGCATCTCTATTTCCACTGCTCATAACCCGAAGGAGCTAATAGAGTGAAGTCGTGATTAAAATCGAGCCACCGTTCTGGGTCATCAATCACGGTATTATTCACCGTGTCCGCTTGCGTGAGACTGAGACGGTGATGATGTATGGTTTAGATGTCAAAGTCTTATTGCTCTTTTGCTCTTTCGACCCTGGTACACACTTCACTTGAATTTGGGGGTCACGGTGTCGGGATTAACAACTGTTGCAGTCATTGACGTGCCGTCCCAGCCTTTGGTCTACGGCAAGAGTAAGATTCAGTCATCGGGCTCACCAGGGAATGCTACACATGGATTTCCGTGGACTCCAGTTTCGGACAAGCCTGAGATTCCATTGAATGAGGTAGACAAGTGTGGAGCAAATTGTATATTCACTACATTGGCCATATAGAAATTGGTCAATTTAGCTAACAAGGTCAACCAATAACGGATTGGTCAAGAGATTACAAATGGCAACAATGGAAAATCAATATTTCAGATAATTAGTGATTGATACGGCACAGTACTAAGCGAGATCATAACCGGAAGACCGTTCACAGTTCATCATGTTCTGCCTTCTCGTCCTCTGTGGCAGCCGGGGTCTCGGCCTCCGTAGCGGAGGGAGCAGCCTCAGTCACATCACCGCCCTCCTGGGTTTCCTCAGGAGCGACATTAAGGGCGTCGACGTTATGTTTGCCATTCTCCTTCACAAAGTTGGCAAGATCCTCGACAGTGCGCTGGCCAGAGAACTCAATGGGAGAGTCCTTGGCACCGGCGGGGTAAAGTCGGATGGTAGGGAATCCAGTAATCGGGTCCGGGACATCATTGGCCGTCGCATCGATTTTGGCGATGGTAACCTTAGCCGCCAAATCGGGGTGGTCAGCGTAGAGAGCTGCGAGCTCATCATACTTCGGAGCAAGACTATATATTGATCGTTAGTTGGTTGCGCTCTTACAGTAAGCCTGGGAGAGTTGTATAGACATACGCTTTGCAGTGTCCACACCAAGGTGCGTAGAATTCGAGCAGGACATCCTTGTCATTGTCAATGACGAGATCCTTGTAGGAATGAGCCACAACAACCGTGACGGGACCCTCCTGAGACTCGGGAATAGGTTCCGACTTGATGCTAGGCTCAACCTTGCCATCCAGAACATCCTGGATGAACTTCTCAACTCCTTCGGCATCCAAGTCTTTGGCCTGGTCGTAGGGGTATTTGGCATTCTTTGCGGGATCCTGGATGGCGAATGCCGGGAACTTCTGAGAGTCGAGGTTGAGATTTCCAGCGTGGGCACCAAACATCTTAGCGTCAATAGTAGCAATGTTGATGGCACCCTTGTGCTTCTGGGCAATAGGCTTGAAGTCTTCGGTGTACTTTTCGCGCTCCTCCTTGGTCTCGGCAAAGATATAGGCCAATGGGATTCCAGCCTATGTTCAAGAATGGTTAGCCAGTCCAGCCAGAAAGTTGGCATCGAAAGTCAAGCCGAAATGCAAGAAAATGTCAGGTTGACGAATAGATCCTACTTACCCCGATATAGCCAGAGTAGGTCTCGGGGCCAATCTCGCCCACAAGGGGAGTACTAGCGGATTTCACCCAGTTGTGAATGGCCTCCTCTTCGATCTCGCCATCGTAAATAGCCTTCTTCTCATCGAAGTCCTTGTAGAGCACGATGGAGGGCTGCTCGACACCTTCCTTCTTCGCAATGGCCGCATCATCCGTTGCAGCAAAGAGGTAGTTATCCCGCTGAGACTCAGCATATTTCTCAAATGCCTGATAAGTTTTCTGGTCGTCGGACGGGATATACCCGATCACGACAATCTTGTCCATGGTCTTGATCTCTTCCAAATTCCCCTCGTTCACTGAGGATACTGCAGGAAGTGACTGCTTAATCATGTAGGAAACGATACTAGGAAACACCGTATGGGTCAGTGGCACATCACATACATGACAGCGTTCTTTGAGGCTTGAACTCACGATTCTGTTTGACGCGCGCCCTGGTACGGCTTGCTAGAGTCAACACCCCGGAAGATCTTGAGGGTAGGGTAACCTTCTACCCCCTGACTCCGGCAGAGATCCTCCTCGGCGGTGCAGTCAACCTTCACCAGAGGGATATTCTTCGCCTTCAGCTCCGTGGCTGCTTCCTCATACTTTGGCGCGAGGGCTTTACAGTGGCCACACCAAGGAGCAAAGAATTCGGCAAGGACGAGACCATGCTCGTTCATGAAGCTCTCAAATGTGTCTTGATCCAGTGAGATAACATCCGACTCGGTATCAGCAGCCGCAGCCACTGCGGATGCTCCGAGAAGGCTAACGAGCCAGGGCGCGAAGGAGCGCATTTTTAAATTACAGAAGAGATAGCAGCGGAGTCGGGGATAATGGGAGGGGGTATCGCGATGGATGTCTGCTTTTCCCCAGTGGCTTTCGAAGAAGCTCGAAAGTCAATGAAAATAAAAACAATAGACCGCCCGGATTAGAGGGAGGAGAGGGGAGGGAGAGGAAGGCAGGTGATGCGTAGAGCAGAAGCTACCGAAAGAGAAAAGAGCGATGGGGGCGAATGGGAAGGCAAATAGTTCTTAAATAAATAGTACAGTAGTATCATAGGCTGATCCGCCTGAATTAACTAGCTAATCCACTACTCCTGTAGCTATGAAGAGGCGATGAGGACAGTCTGTTCTTTCTGCAGTCAGCTGGCCTGCTGAGCATTCTGACTGGCTCAACCGGACCCGCCCTGGACAGCAAGGGACCTTCATACCAAGGGACTGGTAATCTAGGCATACTTCACTTAAGAAAGGGTAGTACCAGGTAGATACCTAAACCGATGGCTACTAGCAACTTGGTCGATTGGCCGGTAGGGATGGTAGACATAGATGCATGCTCAGGCACATGGGACACCAGTATCCATGAGGATGATTAGTTATTATTGTGAGACCATAGTGTATCTCCCCTAGAGAGCTACTTACCCACTTTTGTCTTAGTGGTACCGAGGTACCGTCCCCTACATCGACCAATTTGGATCCCTTTATTACTTAATTAAGTAACGGTTCAGTTACTAGGTTAAATTAGTTATTTACTTGCTGTGCTCCGTAGTTGCTAACTAGATACTACTTGGTATTCAGTCATTCCTCCTTTACCCTTACCCCCCCTCCAAGGGTTGAACCTACTCCTGCGGACCTTCCAGCTGGCCACATTCCATGGCAAGGTCTCGAATTACTTCTTCTATTTAACCATAGTAATCACACAACAATCTTCATGCAGCCCGGTTTATTGTGCTCCTCCTCCACACCGTTGTGTCTACCTACTATGCTGGGTAATTTAGTGCAAGTACTGGTGGACATCAGTTACAGCAAATGCCGCCTATATAGTTACTAAGCGCTATCAAAATAAACAATCCAGTCCCCTAGACCTGAGGCAGTACAGACAGGGCCATTGTTCGGCCATACCAAGTAACACATTCGGGTGATGGCCACATCTACTCAGGCGAGTAAGAACATGAATTACAAGTCATCCTGTCGCCTCTATTCCACTAGGTCCTCGCTATGAGACGGGCATTGGGTGACAGCTCCATAGGCCGGCACCTCCTGTCTGGCTCTTCCCTCGAGTTCCTTCGAAAGTGAAAGCGCGTCCCTTTTTCCACGCTCTACATCGACCAAGAGCATTAACGGTAAAGGAAGCAGAATCAGGACAGCCAGGAAGACGAAGGCAGGTCGGATTTCCCCGTAACGATCGGTGATGATTCCAACAATGGCGGGACCAAAAACACTGGAACCTTTATCAGTGATGGCATACAGAGCATAGAATGCGGCCTCATATCCCGGAGGGATCAATTCCCCAAAGAAGCTCCGACAGTATGAAGAAAGCCCACCCATGACGAGTCCATATATGACACCCAATGGGTACATCTCCCATGGTTGTTGGAGGCCTAAGTACCCTAGACTTTTGATTGCGGGGATAAAGCCTAAGAGACCATAGAGCGGCACAAGCTCGAATAATATAATGCAAGCAACTATCGTTTGTGAAGCTCGGAGATTGAATGCTCGCGACACAAAGCTCCAAGAGAAAGCTCCAAAGACTCCTGCAATCATCGTAATGACATTTATCAGCCCCAAAGCGGCTGGCTGCATTCCCAGTTGTGTCTTTGCAAACAGGACGGCCGTCCCGCTGACTGTCGCAATACCATCACTTAAGAGGAACCAGGCTGCCAGAAACAACAGGATATCTCTCAGATGTCGAGTGCGCATTATTGTTCTGCCCAAAGATTTCCAAGCGTATGCCATATAAATAGTCCATGTACGAGTCTCTTTCCCATATGGAAGGGGCGGGCCGGGCCGGGCACGTAGCCACATTGCCGCGGGTATGGTGAAGGTAAACCACCAGAGCCCAATCAAAAAGAGGACTAGGCGTAACGAGAACGTTGTCTGGTGAGTTTCGACAACAACCAGGATGCAAATTGCTTGCAGTATCACTGCACCTATGTATCCGATGCCGATCCCGTTCGAGGATAACTTTGTGGAGAGCTTCAATTCCTGAGAAGTTTTCGAGGCAAACACTTGAGTATCGTCGCCCGTAGTAGAGGCATTGCGGCTTTGTTCTGGCCGAAGCAATGATGTTACTTCAGTTCCGTTGGTTTGACCCGAGCCATCGGCTGTAGAGGTCGAATCATGGTTGGTCTCGGTGGGTGAATCCTCCTCACCATGTCCACCCAGCAATATGGGATGATAGCGAACCAGCAGAGGCAGAAAAGAATTCAATAGTACAAAAGAAGCTCCAAAACATGTATTAGCTATAATCGCTAACAACCCACCTAGAAGGTAGAGCCTTGGAACGACTGCAAGGAACAGCATCGTAGAAACGGACCCGATAAGTGCAAAGATGACCAACAGCATTTTGCGGTAGCTTCCGTGATCCGCAGCACCTGACATTGATATTATCAAGATGGCTTGTATGAACACACTCAGTGAGAATGTGTACATAGCGAAGCTTGCAGTGTTGACCTCAACGCCGAGAATATGGATAATGCACTGGCTTGTTCTGGGTGAGCCTGGCTTAATAGATGCAGTGGTATCAAAGATGGTGTTCCATGTCCTCGATGGTGAGGTCAGCTCTAGAGAGCTCCAAGAAGCACTGCACGGTATTGTCTTATCGGAAAGAAGTACACCGCGGTCTCGAGCCATTTGCTCTAGGGTGATGGGGAGGAACGATCCTAGAATATATTAGGAGGTGTACAAATTGTACTTCTCGGCCTGTTTAAGAGATGCATACCCATAGCGCACACTGTAAAAACCTCGGCAGCCCAGCCATAGCTGTACCATCCAGCGAGCTCCTTCTTAGATGTCGGTCTGGTGTCATCTCCAGGGAAATCTGGAGGGGGAGGACGGATGGAAGCGGTCTGAACTTCCGGAGAATTGGTGCAATTTTGCATTATGAATAGCTCACATATCCA